GTGACGTCGGTCACGCCTGCCCCGGCCAGGGCGCAGAGGCCGACGTGTCACCATCCGGTTGCGGTCCTCAGTCGGGTCGCAACGTGTACCTCTTCCGCAGCGTGGAGCGCGCTCCCGCTGGGCAGCGATACAGCCAAAAGTAGCATGCGGGCGGCCAGCGCTGCGCCGGACAGCGGACCCATGCCGGGGGTATGCCGGTCTCGGCCATTAGCGGGGTCGTCGGGGCCGAGGCTGTACATACAGCTGGTGACCGCGTGAGCCGCCAATCGAAGCTCACGGCTTATAAGCTCGACGCGGGCGTCACACGCCGTCCCGATGGGAGCTCCACAACGCCGCCGCGAACTCCAGCGCGGCTCGCAGCGCGAAGACCAGTACGGACGGCCGGGGCAAACGGCGTGCGGGAGTCGCAGGCGACGTTCTGCGGACAGAAAGGGTTGGGCATAAGCTGATCGGCAGGACACTCTTGAGCCGAGCCTTTGATGTAATTACAGATGATCCAGAAGCATGCACAAAAATTCATGACACACTATTCTCATTTATGTATTTGCTACATATGATATGATATACCAGCTCATGATCAGTGACGCATTCTGGGCAATATGTTCTAAAGTGAAGTAACTGAAGTTACAGCTTAAAAGCTTTAAAAAAAAAACAGCTTAAACACACACACACACATTCGATAGCTTATGAGAATAACATGCCTTGTGTGCTTAATGCAGGAAAATATTTTCACTTTTTTAGAAACAGCAAAAGAGTTGTCAACAAGCCATGTCAACTATCTAAACAATTTTTATGGAAACTGCTCTAGCTAGCTTAAAGTTCCACAACGTTTCCGGAGCACCGTACTCAAACTCAGTTCATGTTACAAGAAAAAACAGTAATAATGCCTCCTAATTTTGAATGAAATATAGGTATGAGTAATTTGATTTGGAAAGCAACAAATTTCCGCACATCATTTTAGCAAAATTACTATTTTCTTCAGCCATCAGGTTACACAAAACTATAGTAAACTTTATGATCTAGTTTACACAAAACCAAAGCCCCGATTTTAACAAATGTAGATTAAATTTAAACAATTTTAAAAAATGTATCGTGGAGAAAATGAAAAGTGTAGATTTGTAAAGCCGGGATATTTCAATTTCACGGATTAGGCACTTAAAGAAATATCTTCACCTTTCTTTGAGCCACCAGCCTTCACCCAAGTTTTACACGAATGTAGCGAAGCAGACAATGTGGCAAATCAAAATTGTGATGGTTTGAGATAATTATGACGGTAAAAGAAAAAGCAACACAAGGTTCCTTACCCTCGTTTTTTTCACATGGGTTCAGATGAGGCTTCAACTGTTGCCGACCTGAGGAGCTATAGGAACTTGAGCTTTCCAAAACTCAATTTCTAAGGGCACTGAGCAGTGTTTGGCTTTCACACGAATGCGATAGTAAGTTATATGAAGTTGACAAAGCAAGCAAAGCATGATGCCCCGCGCGTCCGCCCGCGACCACGCCCCGCGTCCGACTCCCGACCGCCGCGTGACCCGAGGCGCCCGGCGGTCACGTGACCTACCGGCCGGGACTGCAAACGGCCCTCACCACCATTCTTGTATGACGTCATATCCTACTGAGGTGCTGATTGGTCGGAATTAGATACCTGAAGGTAATTATCTGCCGTAGTTATTTTTGTTTCATTGTTTTGCGTGTTTTCTTATATGAAATGTAATTAAAAAATTTGTCATATTTTAATCACCATTAAAACATAACTGAATAGGTATAAAAGAGAACTCGATATATACTTTCCTTGTTTTTAAGAATTCCGGAATTAGATACCCGAGGGAGCAAAGAGGGAGCAAGTTGCCACGCTGATTTAATACCTCATAGTCGAAAGGTGGGCTACTAGAACCAAAAATTGCTGTGTTTGTAAATAAATAAGTGATTTGAGGGCAAAAAATGCCCGGATTTAAACTTCTAAAATTATTTTGAACATAAAATATTTCAGTTTGAGGGATGTTAAGGCCTCTAAGGGTAGGTACTTTTTAGGTATCAAATAAGTTCCTCTGCGAAAGTTCCGTCGTGAAAACGGCCAATATGTCTTGTTTCCAAAGCTAAAGTATGATCCTCAATGTTGCAAAAGTTGGTTGACTTTAACAATAACTTTGAATAAAAAAACAACATATGGTAAACACTAACAGTCACACTTCAAGGAAATCGCAAGATCCATCCAACCTTTGACATGCCCTGTTTGGAATGCTGTTAACATGCTATGATCTTCACAGAATAGGTAAAATCAACTCAAAATATTACATTCTTTTATTACAAATCATATCTTCCCATGAACTTCATTATTGTGACTGCAGAGCTCATTCAGTCAATCAGAGACTGTGCAGAGACTTCATCATTCAAACAATCAGAGAATCAATGTGCAGAGACTAACACTTTAAAATCTAGTGACATTTCACAAACATCTTTTATGCTACAAGCTTATGCTTACCAAACACTTTTTCATGACTCAAATATGGTGGTGTTTATTTTAAGTGAAAACATTCATCCAGCACTAAGCAGATTATTTCTAAGCTCCACGAAGTCCCAATTTCTATTATATTTCGCTTGGAGTCACTTCATAATTTGAACTCAAAGTGCCTTGTGGATTTACCTCAGTTATGTAGGTAAATCCACAAGGATTGATGGGCTTTACCTCAGTTATGTAGCTGCTCCCTCAATTAAAGTTTCTCGTTAAATTTCATTGAGGCGTTGCAAGATGGGCTGTAGCCAAATTCACTTCCCTGTTTGGCTGATGCTCATAATACCTGAACATTATTAATTCCAATTTTTGTGGCTGTTAACAATTGATGAAGGCCCAAGAACCTAGACAACAATGACGTTACAGAGGAAACCCCTGGCTGTGTTTCACGGGCGCGCGCTGGCAGCCGCGCTGGCGCTGCCAGCGCATTCTGTGAGCTAGCGTCAACCTCTGGTAGTGTTGGAGGTATAGGCTTGTTGATGTCTCTATGGAAATCAAAAGTGGCTGGCAAGTGTCGCGAAACACCACCCTTATTTTTGCACAATAATGGTGTGATAACTGTTGCTGCAAGAAAATATAAGGTGAAGTGAAGACGTGAAGTAAAATCAGGTCAGACATTAATATATACCCAAAAATAGCAGTGAATGGAGTACCTATATTCACATTACCAATAATATGATGCACAACAGGCCATAGAAAAACAGGTGAATGTGGAATTGTAACCCAATTTCAATATCAACATGGCACTTGGCATTAACAGTAAAACACAAAGTTTTTGATGTTAAATCAACAGAGAAAACTCCTGAACATAAACAAAATGATCAGAATGTATAATAAGGATAATAGTATAAATAAAAATCGACGAATCAGCCTATCATCGCCCTTACACATTCACCACTCCCCATTCCACGCACAGATTGTTTAATGTTTACCCCTTGGCTTACCCCGTGTTCACAGTCTCCCGGACGACGAAGATTCTAAACGCCGTCCGACCAATCATGTTCAAGATCAGCGGGGCTTGGCCGCGGTTCTCGAACGTCATTGGCCAGATTACGCAGAATCTTCGTAGTCAGCAAAACTTTGAACACGGGGTTATATTTTTCGCTATGGTAACAAAAGCGCCAGAATTGACTACCAGAATTGGATCCGAAGGTCAAATGGGTCACGTGACTGTCAAGTTCAGATGGACAACACCTGTATAATACCAAATGAATATGATCTATATTACTATTTGAGGAGGGTGCGTCTGTCCGTTACCGAGGTCCCGACTTGGTCGTGCTTTGCGTGGACTACAGGCCAGACCGTTGCACATAGCCCGATGAAATTTGCACAACTTATAGATCAAGGATGCGCGACGTGCCTTTGAGGGGTCTCAGCTCGATCGGATTGATAGGGAGCGCGTGGCGCGTGCTCAAAAAGTGCAAATTCGCGTCATAGACTTTACATGTATAAATCGGCGTGCGAAATCGAGCGAAAACGGCTAATTTTGGCCGACACGGGTCCAGTTCCCGTGCAATATCTTGGTGACCAGGGGTCCGACCGGCACGGGGAAAACAGCATCGTGTACAGAATTGAACGGGCTATTGAATGGTGTGCAATGCAGAGGATAGCACGCGCCACGTGCACCGGAGAGGGCACTTTTATTTGAAAAATTGCGGCTTTTGAGGGATTTTGGAATTAATTTTATTTTTAGGTGACCGTTAAATGGAGCGAGTTGAATCAACGCCTATTTGCAAGAGAAAGGTACCGCCTCTCATATAAAAATTGTGAAAAGCTGATTGATCCAAATCAAGGTGGTGCAAATCACAGGAGAAAATGGTGTTTGTCAATTTTGTGCCACTTTATTAATCACACGGGGTTTGCTGAATAACCTGATACCTTTGGCAATTGAATATGGTACCATTGTATAGAGCATTCAATTCTGTCCAATATTCACTCTTCATTTTTGCATGATTAGCAACAGTATTCTTAAAAATGTAAATGTTCCAAACCATTACATTGTCATTTTTAGCGAAATTCATCGATGGCCCTCAAAAGACTTCACGCCAGTTTTCGAATCATTCTAAAGTAGAACGCATGATAATACGACACGGGCACCTCGATGCGATGTATCTTTTTGTTTTCTTACAGTGTTTGGCCGTCAAAAAGCAATCGAACGAAATGGATATCTACCAACCAAATCGATACAGACCAACCCAATACCCACGGGTCAAAAAATCCCCCCTTCGCGTTGCGGAGCACGCGGGTAACCCCAAGGCCGTATATTAGGAGGTAAACTCGTCAGGCGGTTTGTTTACATTTGCTCAGCTGACGAAATGACGTCAAAGGTCGTCCACCCTCACGGATCAGGCAGCCGCATGCAGTACAATATGCGGACGTTTTTGGGAATTGAAGACGACTTTAGCGATATTGAACGATTAAATTACGTTATACCAGCTTCTACAAACCTGCAAACCGGTTTATGCTAATGTGGTGCCACAAAAAACAGTGTGGAAGGAGTTTATATTGATGCATTATCGGCTGGAAAAACACCATAACTTCGACCGTAGCCGACTGAGCCAACATTGACCTATGCTTGGTTATGGGTCAGCATAGTTGCCAGAATGTCATAATTTACGCGGATTTGAACAACAACTATAGCATTAGACGTACGATTACGAGGTTTTGCTCACAATAGTTAGGTGTACCGAGCAGAGCATATACCCGGCCGGGGCACCAGCGCCGAAACTGAAGCGTGAACGGTGGCCTGCGACAGGAACGCATATGGCTGCCAGTGATACGGTATGTGGTGGCGCATCGGATGCAGCCCTCCCACTTTCGGTCCAGAACTGGCTGCCATTCGTTGGTCCCAGTCCAGCTGCCTCAATCGGTCCCGGTTTAGACGCCTTTGCCGGCCCCGGTTCAGACGTCTCAGTCTTTCCCGGTCCGGAAGTCTCAACTCAAACTTTATTGAACAATCTTATCGACATTATCTTGGTAGAAAACACAAAACAGTAAGACTAAACAAACGAGCAAACTCAAGCAGCACTTCAAAATGACGATAGGTACACACAAACATCAGCGTGTTTCAGCAGCATCCACGCGTCGCTCCGCGCTGTCTCACAGCACCCCACGGGGTCAAACCACTACGTGGGTTCGTAACACGCTGGCCACAAAACATGGGTTACCCAGGCAGGGACAGCGCATGCAACTCGATCGCAAAACCATTCTTCTGGCATTGCTCTGCGTCTATAAAGGAGAATATCCCGCCCTCATCTACCCTTCAGGACCTGGCCGGGCCCGGGGACACTAACGAGACGCGGACTTTACCCACTCAGCTGAGCAGTGAGCACCCTTTCAGTTTCGACCGGTCCGGGGCCCAGCTCTCGCCACATGACCGAAGGCTACTGTTAGGGTGATGTCCTGTCCTGCTGTTCTTTTGCCGTCCTCCATCAGTCAGCTCCGAACCACCAGCCTCGCTGCCGCGCCGGGGTCCGGAGAAGAAGCTGCGCTGAGACGATCTGGAACCATCAGCCGGGCTGTGAGTCCCCACCGCCATGCAGTTGCTGGGACCGGGGCGGTGCAACCACACTCGCGTCCTGACTGCGCTTATGTGCTTCTCTCCTCGGAACAGAGTCCGGCAGCGCAACCTGACTGACCTGAGCACGCCCCGCGCGAGAAGGCGTCTGGCGTGGCGCGCCGGCCTCGACCATCTGTCACACCGCCTCGGGAATATTCATGATCCAGATCCGATCGAATCGTCAGATTAAAATGTCTCTTGTATGGTAAACACAGATAAAAATCCCTCCTTCTTGAGTCGCAGAAGGTCAGGGAGGCTTGACAGTCTACGGAGGTCGACGACGACGACTGAGAAACGCTCCAGCAGCCGCAGTTGGTCAGCTGCTCAGCAACACTCCGCCAGCGAGACTGAAAACAAAAACCTTCCATGAAATGCAAATTAAGGATGGCTGAAGGATGCATAATACCCAGTAAAACGAATAACTATTCACTATTCAGTAAACAAAAAATGTCACTTCCTTGCTTGGAAAATTGTATTTTAGTCACTAAATGCCATGGCAAAGGAGCTGCCTAAAACGATGAATGTCAGCAACTCGCCAAACAACCTGTGTAAAACAGTTTGTTATTGTATGTGACTCGGTAGACACAACCTTTTGACCTTAGCCTGCACTAAATATGATAGCAAATTAGCCATGCTCCAATTCCATTGTCATTTTCCCCTTTGAATTAGGTAATTGTTTTTGGGAGCTGCCACAACTGCTCAGATAGGCACATTAACATTGCTCACACACACAGATTCACTTACTTGTGAGTTACTGGGTGATGTGTCGTGCCTTGGTCACCAGTCACAGAATAACTGAAGCCTCCTGGAAAAGCGCTGTAGCTGTTGGCGACTGGCGTCACCACAGCTGGTCGGTGGGACACTGTAAACAAGATGCGCGGCAGCGGCAGGCGCTTGTAACGATCGTGGAGGCGCTGGTTGTGTCGGTGATCCGGTATTGTATTAGTGTCTATGGTTCCTGCGACCGGACACGGATGGCTCGCATCCAGAGGCTAATGAATTTTGGCGCGAGGGTTGTGTCGGGTCGAAGGAAGCATGAGCATATCAGTGACGTCATTAGGGACTTGGGGTGGTTGTCTGCGCACAACCTGTACCGGTATCACTCCCTTATGCTCCTGAAGCGGATCATGCTGACAGGCTATCCAGACACATTGTATGGGCTGACAGTGACGCGTGGTGAGCTGCACTCGCGGCAGACGAGGCAAGTACAGCAGCTTCACACCCCGGCCATTCGCACTGAGTCGGGACGGCGGCGTTTCATGTATTCTGTCGTGAAGGAATTCAATGAACTGCCCCATGATATACGTGAGCTAGGCCTGCCCCGCTTCAAGTCGGAGCTGCGCCGGTACCTGCTGAGCGCTCAGGTCACATAGTGCATCGTGTAGTGAACGGAGCATGGTTTGTCACCGAATGTGGTATGTGTGCTACTCCCTGTGTAACCTTGTGTACTGCTGACGTACTACCCGGAATAGCCACGGTGTCCGTGGATGGGTAGCGAACTGTGAAATAAATAAATAAATAAATAAATAAGATGACTTTAAACGCTGCTCCAGGTACTTTGATCATGATCTGTCATAACATAGTTAACATTTCTTCTAATCAAACTAGGGCCTAGGGGAGTTGGAGTGATACTCCTCCATCATACCAATGCGCTAACAAGGATTGAAGAAAACACATGAGCCCTAAAACCAATAAAAAAACGAACACAAAACATACCTACTCATTCATAATTATTATTGCTTAATTTGAAAGGAATCCTGTTCACCAAAAAATATTCAGCAAACCACTCACCAATTGCCTGACACCATAGTGCACACAGAAGTTTGAGGCCTGTGTAGGCTGTGCAATATTATATGTGTAGATCAAGATGAAGTACAGTGAGATGTGAGTCAGTAGGTTTTAAGTTGTAGGTTGGTACCTAGATTGTAGGCTTTAAATTGAAGGTTTTCGGTTAGTAGGTTGTAAGTTTGTAGATTGTCGGTTGGCAGGTTGAAAGTTTTTGGTTAGTAGGTAAGGTTAGGTCAAGTTAGATTTTTTATCTTCACTGTACTTCATCTTCACATTTACCAGCTGTGCGGACTGCAGGCCTGTTGGACCGGATCTTTGTAATGCAAAGCACTGTCTCGCTCATTCTAAAAGTACTGGTTGTCAAACACAGAAGAGAAGCGGATGGCTCCCCCGTGGATGTCCAGATACTTATCAATTATGGCAGCTTACATGAGTTACAGAAGCAATTGCAGCTTCATTTGTCCGTCTAGGCTTTAGACAATTGACCACACTTAAAACAAACAAACATGCAATTTTGTTTGGTATTGGAATACATACCAATATTTCTACATTTACAAAAGTATATGATAATTCTTATTAACTACTTGCTGGTAATAATCAGAAAAAAAAACTCAGAAAATGCCAGACAGAAAAGTATCAAATAACAACTAACAATTGATATCCATTGAAATACACAAATTTGCAAGCAGAAGATTGTAACACGCGCGCAATAAATGTAAAAAAGAGCTAAATTTCTGCTTCAATTCCTTAAAGGGACCCTCCCACCTTAACATTAGTTTTGAGTTGAGATAGCCAAGTTTGCGGCCAGGCTCAGAAACCACCATTTATCCTGGTCGCAACCCCCGCAGCTTTATGGTGTTCAAGAAATTTCTTCCCTTTACTTGCAGGGTGGGACCAGCTTGGTCCCTATCTCTTAACCATTATGGGAATCTGATGACGTCATCAGGCTTTCGAACGTCCGTTAAATGTTTGACTAAAACGTTTTGTAGCACGCGGTGGTATATGCTGCTTTGCGCGCAACAAATGCCGCACTTTCAAATAAAGTCGCTAGGAACAGCGGAGATCCCAAAAAGTAAACAAAAGTAAAAGTCTAATATCTTGAAAACCGGTGAATATTTTTCGATGAAATTTGGTAGATATTCGTTTTTGCTCTTTCTGAACCGAGCGACATCACTTTCATGCCAATTCATTAACTTTTTTGAAGGTGGGAGGGTCCCTTTAAACTACTGTCATAAATCGTAATTTCCAACTAATTCGCTGCTACGCTAGAACTCAAAGACTACAAGTTTTTAGGTATTGTAACCTTTACAACATGTAGAAAATGTCTTATTAAACCATTTGAGACCAAAAACGTTCCACTTCATCCCGTTTTAGTTGAAAAAACAGCAAGGAAAGTGGACGACCTTTGACGTCATTTACCTTCTGATTGGCCCAAAAAGCCTTCCCTATGGCGCAACATAGAAACGATGACCCCCTGGGTAACCCTAGTATTAACTGTTGCGCCGGTACGGCATGCGGTAAATATCTTCCCAACCTTGGGCTGTGAAAATGCAGTTTTATTCACCTCGGTTTTTGGCTACGGACCTCGTGCCTACCGGCACTCGGTCCTCCGCACAAAAACCTCGGTGAATAAAACGCATTTTCCCAGCCCCGGTCGGGAATATATATTGTCAGGCGTATAGTGCTCCGAAGCCTCCGAAGAATGTAAACTAGGGTTGCGGTATTATATTAACATTCTCGTTCCAGTAGAAGTATGATAGATACGCAATTTCCATTTTTCGTCGCTGAATTGGTGCTCCACTCAATGGAAGACGTGCGAAAGGAATTCATTTGAAGGATCCTTTACGACCCTCGGCTGGCCTGCCTGCCTACCTTCTGAGAACACAATGCTGCAAACTGGGGTCACAGTTGGTTCCCTCTAACTGTCTTGTCACGAATACTAAGCATCCATTGTTTTTAGGTCACTTCAGATGCAACAGCGCGGGAGTCTTAGGTAGAAATCGAGTCAAAGTAGGGCACTTCAGTATCCGAGCGGGTTGGCTAGCAAATTTTTGGCTGCTAGTATGTAGTTAGCTGGGCTGTTTGTAACCTGAAGTTTTCAGCTCATAGAGTCCAGGCATGAATCAGATGGCTGTTTAATGATTGGTGCCGTATTGGTGTCATCAAGTGAATCACCCAGTCAGCGACGTCTAATTAAAAATGGGCTGATATTTTATTAGCAAAGGGCGTGTGTGGCGAAAGTGTGAGAAATAATCCATGTTTAAGCACGTATCTATCGTTTCAGTTATACGCGCTGCTACATATATGGGATCAAAACAAACATTCCAATGACATAACGTCGGACTTTATGGCCAATGCAACGAAAGAGCCTATTTATCTGTATCATCTTTCCACATGTAGGTAATGAAAAACAAGCCTCGATTAAGCGAATAATTGAACGCAAAAGGTTATTTTCCTTCCCCATCCTTCTTTCCATCAGCATTTAAAGGTAGTGTGCCAGCTTTCCTGGACCGTATGGAGTTAATGGCCCAGATAAGGAGAACCGGATTTTTAGAACTTATCCATACCTTCAAAACTCATGAAAACGTCTTAAATTCTTCAAATTTTGAGTACCCCAGTGCGAAATTCGCCCCGACGGGTTGTCGGTTGTACCCCAACCACATTTCACACCACCATGAACAATAAATGCACACACTGAAATCGCTATTACCGATAGGCTCATCCAATCAAGTTTCGATAAACCCGTTCATCATCATCTCCTGCGGTTTCGAACACGCCTGTTAGGTGGTGCGGTAGACCGCGCCCAAAGCCAGGGCCCAGATAACGTGAGGTAGCCGAGTCGGGGCAGCGTGCGCTGACCCAAGCCGGGGCCGCGCGTCCTCCCGGTGTCATGTGATAGCCCGGGGCTGCCCGCGGGGATGCGGTAGACCGCGCCCAAAGCTGCGGCCCCGGCTTGGGTCAGCGCACGCTGCCCCGACTCGGCTACCTCACGTTACCGGGGCCCTGGCTTTGGGCGCGGCTTCTGCTCATACTTTGTGGTGCGGTGGTGGTGCGTCGGGCCGCGCGCTCTGACTTCGGCCACGAAAAATGCGTCAGCTGATCATTGTCATTTCTGCCACTTGCGTGTGGTGAAATGGGGTCATAACTTAAGAGACGGCTTTTTCATATCAATTATTTTACATAAAATCATATTTCAAACCATAAATAATGTTCGACAGCCAAATAAAAGAAACAATACCAATACAGGCTTACACTTTAAGGCTCGACATTGTCTTGTCTACGATTAGACAGCTGATAACTCATTCCCGTACGTGGTAACTCTATAATGACCTTTGCTTATTGTCACATGTGCGCCGCATTCGCGATTGTTGCCGACGCCTGTTTGCAGGTCAGCCCACTACAGTTGTTATACATATCGAAAAACCTATAAACTTTTAGGCAAAAAAGGCACTATTCCAGGCCCATTTTTGATTTTTTTTGCGATATTAGGTAAAAACAGAAGCTTCTTATCCTAGGAAAAATAAAATGGGAAATCTTTCAAAGGTGGCACACTACCTTTAACCCTCGCCCTGGCAGGGCATTTTTCATAACACGGCCTGGCAGGGGGGGCCGATGCGACCCCCCCCTCGCGATTGGCTCCTATGGCACCTAGAAACACCAAATTCGGTAGGTAGGTGGGCCCCCTGGAGTTCTCGCCCCTGTGCAAATTTGGTTGCTCTAGGTCAATATTTAGGGGGGTTTTGGGGGGGTATAAATGTAAAAATTTCGCTAAAAACAGGTCAAAAGTTTTTCGCTTATAACTTTTGATCTAATTAAGATAGAGCAAAAAGAAAAGCACCAGTGAACTCAGCGCGTCAAGGCGCGTCGACTGATATACTTTTTAGCTTGCTTAAGCCTACTTAAAGTTTTTCTTAAATTTTAAGTAAACTTAAATTAATAAATTAAGTTAAAGTTAACCAAATTGCATCATATTGCATATCATTCGATTCGGCTGATCGCCAGGAACACAATGGTACCATTTTTCAAGCTCTAGCGTCATTATGTGCCAAGTTATTGGCAAAAACGTCATTTGACCTCAGTTGACCTCATTTGACCTGACCCATGGATAAGTACACCAAACAAAGAAGCACCAAGTGACCTGCTGTTGAGTACTGTGGTTTCAAAGCACAAAAGTGATAGAACGAAGCGGATATATCCAGTATTTTCCGAATTTAGTATTTTCCCATAGGCTTAACATTACGACGTAATGACCTCTAACTGACCTCAGGTCAGTGACCTCAAAAAACCCGAACTATATGTTATACAACTCGGTGAACTTAGCACATCCTGAAAGTTTGAAGGAAATCAGTGCAAAACTGTGAGTTGGACAGGTGCAAAAAGAAATTTGAAATTTGACCATGACCTTGTACCGGTTTTTCTGACCTGGTGACCTGACTTAAGGTCACCCGGACCTGAAATTTTCAGGTCATATGTATAAAGGTTGCCCCATAGGCTGTGCCAAATTTGGCGGCGCTGCGCGCCGCCGTTTTTACGCTATCTTCGAAAAACCTTAGGGGGGTCGCATCGACCCCCCCCCTGCCAGGGCGAGGGTTAAACACTTGGAGCGCAAAAGCGTTACTTAGCGCGAGTGTTGAATAGCGAAAGTGGTTGCCTGCGTGTTATACTGTTCCGCATTGCCTGCGAGCCATGCGGTACAGCCTACCTGCCCAGTACCCAGGTTCGGGCGGCGGCTGTCCGCGCTGCTTGCCAATTTCACGCGGAGTTTAGACGGTCACGGTGGAGATATTTGAGAGAAATGCATCTAGCATTGATCTATGCATATGACAGCACTGCATGGAAAAAATGATCAAATCACACTGATATCAAATATGCATATTCTTTGTCGTTTGATAACATTATATCCCGCTGCTTGCAAGTCAATGGCTGGTTGTGGAGCCATTGACGCCAGTCGATGTCAGTCGTAAGTCAATGTAAGGATGTAACGAGTCATTCAGTGTTAGGCATAGCGGTGCAAACTAAACAATAATTGCTACTATTATCATCATCATCATCATACTTCCCATCATCATCGAGTTTTTATCATCTTCTTCAGTTTCATTTCAGTTTACGTCAATGGGACGGGTGAATGAAATAAAATTGATGAAGTACTCGGCTTCACCATTGGCAGCGGTAGAGCTGCATTGTTTGCATTACCTACATATATTAACGATCATCTTCTAAAATACTATTTTTATTTCCAAAACTGTGTTGAAAAAACACGGGGCCCACGTTTCAGTAGCGGCGGAACACCTGCAATTAACCCGCGCACCGACGGGGGGGCGGATATCCGCCCCCCTGAGGTTTTTCGCAAATAGCGGGAAAACCGCGGCGCGTAGCGCCGCGAAATTTGGTATGACTATAATCTCATCAATTTTACACATGGTGTGCAAGTTTGAACCTCCTACCTTTTAGGGTCAGGTCACCAGGTCACTTTGAATGACCCAACCTCAAGTCACTTTTTTGCAACTTTGTCACCGTGCCAGAGCTACAGTAGATATCGGAGGCCTTTGAAAGTCGCAGGATATTATTAGGTCATTAGTAGCTACAATTTTTATATCTCAGAATTTTGATATCGGTGACCTAAGGTCAGGTCAATTTCGCGACCTCCCCATTATAAGTCAATGGGGGAAAATCAACTCCCTGTTTTTACCACTAAAACGGGTCGGAATGGCCCCATATACCATACATGACTTCATATACGATCAACCTTCACTACATTGAGGTCTGTTTTGCTGTTGGGCAGCTGTGAGGTCATGTGACGTCATCAAAGGTCACCAAAGGTTTTTGGCCAATAACTCCGTACAGGAACAAGATACAGACGCGTGGATGGTCTCATTGTGTTCAGCTCGTCAAGACGCATCGAATGATATACATGATGACCTCGAGGTCACGTGACCTGAGGTCAACCTTTGACCTTGACCTTTCGAGGTCAACATATATATCATTCGATGCGGATTGATGAGAGGATCACGATGATGCCCTTAGTTTGTTCCTATCTTGACTAATTCGAAAGTTATTCGAGAAAAACTCTCCATATCTAGCGCCGCCATTTTGACTTTTTCGACCCCTGTGACGTCATCTTTGACCTGACCTGAAAATGACCTTAGTAAAAATTGTAAATTTTGGCCGTGCGTATCCGATGCCGTTTACCGCTTGTCGCTATCTTGCTTCGTTCTCGAGATCTCAGGGGGGGCGGTCATCCGCCCCCCCCCCGTCGGTGCGAAGTTGGCGCAGACCCCCGTCGGTGCGCGGGTTAAGGGGGGGCACTGGCACTGACGACTTTTGGTCCCATTCTTTTCATGCAACGCCCATAGGGCTGATGTTAAAATGGAAAAATAAAAGGGGCACGGTGCCCCGGTGCCACCCCCGTTCCGCCACCTATGCCACGTTTTGCCTTAGGTAATGTGCATGTGCCGTATTTAAATATGTGAATAGAGGATATAACACTGTACCAATATCCGAGGATATTGGTGGCCTCTTACTGGGATATTCTTTTTCCAACTAGATCTCAAATGAGTAGCGCCAGCCCGCCTTCCCAATGACTTGTCCGTTTCCTACACCTGCTTGTCACCTTACCCACAACTTACCCAAACCCCTCCTATACCATCCGCCACATCTGTTCAGCCACTGCCTCCCATCCCCCTCCCTCCGCCCCCCCCCCCCCCCCCCACCGCCCAGCCCATTGCACCCTGCCCTCCGGCCGGCCTCTCGGCCCGGCCGCCGCCAGCCGTTGCTGGCACACTGTACTCCTTTGCAGAACGACTGGGTGTGCCGCGACGCATGGCGTCCGTTCACTGTGAACGCCATCTTCTGGGCAGGCAACATCGTGGGCTCGTGGTTCTGGGGCATTCTCAGCGATAGGTGAGAGCCCTCACCTGTGAGTATGCGCCCTGTGAGTATGCGCGTGTGTTCTGTTTGGATATCGGGGGTGCTTTTGTGACATGCTTTTACCTTCCCATCGATGACTGGACAGTGGCACCCTATGGTGCTCTCCTCTGTTTATTAACTGGTAATATGCTCCTGTGAACACCACGAGAAACTTAACTAGTTTTTACCACCCACCTGACATATGTTATGCTGGGAACTACGCCCAATGTCTTACAAAGTTCTCCTGTATGAATTATGTGGCAAAGTTTCAGTATGGATACATTGCAAAGCAGATGCAAAGCTGAAAAAAATATGTTGATACATATCCAACAAAAAAAGCTTGCAGCATCGTAAATCAGCTGCTTGTTTTTGGTTTCGATAAAAGGTTTCTTTTGTCGTCAGAAGATGGACATTACAACAACAAAAAAGGTTTTACAGCGTATCGTAAATAGCACTCTCTTTTACGACATGCCAGATAAGAGACGCTTGCTTTTGTTGATTTGTGCCTTCTAACAGCTTGTTCATATTGAGGATTATCAAAAGTTTAGGCCATACATGCACTTTTATGTCGCAGCTTATTCATAACCAGAAACAAGAGCTCGCTATAGTAACAAAGCTTGTACGAAAAAAGGAAAACGTACAGCGACATGGTCAATATATGTACATCTGACCTACGACTAAAAACTAACTAAGAAAAACTCTCTAAGTTTCCATGAAACAAGTTCCTGGTTTATTGCATGCGATTGCTACAAGACATTCTATTCAAGAAGCCCAAAATTACAACACACTCCTTCCTAGAAGTGAATTACGTCTTTAATCAGTAATGAGACGTTACCCCATTTCAGCAATATTCAAAGTTATTGACGTGCCTGTGTTCTGCCGGCAGACTGGGCCGCCGTCCGGCGACGCTGGCGTCGTTTCTGGTGTACGCGGCGGGCGGCGCGCTAACTCTCGTGCAGCCGTCCAGCTTCGTAGCCATCCTGCTGGTCCGCTTCCTGGTGGGCTCGGCGCACAACACCGTCAGCCACCTGCCCTACGTGCTGGGTAAGGACGCAGCACCACGCGACACAACACAACACAACACAACACAGCACATCACAGCACAACATAACACAACACCACACAACACAACACAACACAACACAACACAACACAACACCATACAACACAACACCGTCAGCCACCTGCCCTACGTGCTGGGTAAGGACGCAGCACCACGCGACACAACACAACACAACACAACACAACACAACACAACACAACACAACACAACACAACACAACACAACACAACACAACACAACACAACACAACACAACACAATACAACCCCACACAACACAACACAACCCCATACAACACAACACAACACAACACAACACAACACAACACAACACAACACAACACAACACAACACAACACAACACAACACCGTCAGCCACCTGCCCTACGTGCTGGGTAAGGACACAAGCTTCACCGCCCTCAGTCTTATTGGCCTTCAGGCCTGTGGATTGTGGAATGTTGATTTTGCAATAATGTTGTTTCGTTTCTTAACCCTCGCCGGCACAGGCCATTTTGCGTCCTTCGACGGCACAGGGGGGGGGGGGGTTGGTACGACCCCCCCTCGCGTTTGGCCCCTGATCGAGCTAGAGCTTCGCGGAAAAAACGAGCGTGTTGCCCGTCACGAGACGAAGCCGATGATACCCAATTTTAAGGTCCTAGGTCATCGGGTGACCTTCCAGGTCAGGTCAATGACCCGAAAACCGGGAAAATCGGGACCTGTTAGAAGGTCGTAAATTGTGGCTGTTATGTGGTTTTCCGGGGTGCTGATCACGAATATCGTGTTAGTTTTGATCAGCGATGATGTCTTTAAGCATTTAGACCAGGTCGGGTCAGGTCAGGTCAGGTCAACCGGTAGGGGTTGTGACGGGTATTCGTAATACGTGTCAGCCGCCTCTGGCAGCTTCGTAACATGTTACGAAGGCACCAAAACTACTTCGTAAATGTTCAAATGGTCGCCAAATTCGAATTCAGCTCCAAAAACTAGCCTAGAAACATGTAAAACTCGAAAAGGTGAACCGAGGTCACCCGAGGTCACCAAAGGTCAATGACCTGACCTGACCTTCAGATGACCTTGACACCCACCCTAATGTATGGGAGCGACATCAGATCACATGTTTGAACGTTTGAAACCACAAAAAGCCTGCAAACACGCGGCTAATGTTAGCCGACATACGCCGAATCGCGATTCCGGCCAAACATGGTCTCGGAAAAGAGGTCACAGGTCAAAGGACATTGGGGTCAGGGTCATGAAATTTTTAGAGTAGGTGTAAAATTGATCAATGCGAGGGTACTGAAAGTTTCGTCGCGATCGACCGCTTTTTACGCGAGTTATTCGCGAAAAACCTTAGGGGGGTGCATCAACCCCCCCCCCCCCTGTGCCGGCGAGGGTTAAACAATGGATAGTTAGGTCCCGTGTTGACTGAAAATAAAGTACATGTGGATGCTTTTCCGATATAAAAACTGTTAAATCCCCTCTCTCCGGTTTCAGTGATTGAGTACTGCGGCTCGGCGTACCGCACGTACCCGTTGATGTTGCTGATCGCCTCCTGGGGCCTGGGCGGCCTGCTGCTGCCCTGGATCGCGTACGCCATCTGGAACTGGAGGATCCTGGTAGTGGTCACCAGCGCGCCGCTGCTGCTCGCCCTCGCCCTCTACCGGTGAGCGAGCGACGGACGGTCGGCGAGTCGACCTCGCGACTCGACCTCGGAGCAGATTTTATTTATTTCCATGCGTAATTACTGCTGATCCGTTAAAAAATGGTAAACGGACGTTTCAATCGTTAGCAAGCAGCACATGATTAATCCTGGAATTTTTTAGGAGTCGTTCTCTTGCGATGTTCAATTTATTTAATGAAAAAATGCGAATATTTGCTCCTGGACTATTATACCACGGTAAATTTTTGCCAGCGGTGGGATTTGAACCCGCGCTGTCCTCCAGGTATATTCCCGAGTCGGCCTCCTGGCTGATGGTGAACGGCCGCGGAGACGAGGCCCGCGAGGTGCTGCAGTTCGTCGCCTCCGTTAACGGCCGACAGCTGGACGAGGCCGTCTTCTGTGAGGTGATGGTCGAGAAGCGCGAGGGCGAGCCCGAGCAGCCCACTGAGAGCCTGCTGCACGTGTGGAAACACCCGCGGCTCATGAAGAACCTGGCGCTGGTGACGCTACTATGGTGAGCGAGGCTCGACGGAGGTTATCGGGGGTCGGGGGGTGGTATTCTTACTGTGAGGTGAAAGTGGTGATGTTTGGTAGATGCTGCTGTAGCTGCGATAACGAGACGTGTGCTGCTGGGGAGTGAGTCACGTTTGTCTTAACCTGTTGTGTCTCCCTTGTAATTTTACGAGTTTGTTTGATTCCATCGGTGATTTAGTGATGAGACAAGGATGCCCATGGGATGTTACCTATAAGAAATTGTGTGGCGGACACAACCTTTGCTGCTATTCATCTGACATCCTCCCCGGGTCCGCAGGATGCTGTCGAACGTGTGTTTCTACGGACACAGCCAGAACTCGGGTAACCTGGGCAGCTCTGTGTTCGTCTCGTTCTCCCTGGGCGGCGGAGTGGAGGTGGCCGCCGCGCTCCTGGTGCCGCCGCTGCTGCAGCGCTTCGGCAGGCGCTGGCCCATGGTGACCTTCCTGGTGACCTCAGGGCTCTGCGGCGTGGCCTACGCCGTGGTCGGAAACGGTGAGTGAATAGAGGACGGGATGGGACGCTGTGCTGGGAAACGGGGGAGACGGCGTGGGACGGGATAAGGCGCCGTGGGCCCGTGGTGGGCAATAGTAAGCGGATCGGACAGAGTGCGGGTAATATATATGAAGCGGTGAATGCCAAAAGAGAAGCACTAAATTGCAGACAAGAAGAGCGAAAGACATAAGGGAAGGAGAATAGCGTAAATGAATTAACTCAGAGCTCCCTTGTTTGTTCAATGGATGGTTCATTCATTTCCATGCACCCTCCCCCCCCCCCCCCCCCTCAATGCCCATGATTTTAGATCACCGCCTTACCTTCTTCGTGATTCGCTTGCTGCGTGAATGTACAAACGAAAACCTTTTGAGTATAAGTCACAGTCATGGGCGATGCCAATTCACCGGAGCATTCACCGTCATCACCCGTTTGTCTCCCGACATTCACTGACCCCGTGTACCGCTTCTCTGCACAGCGCTGTCTACGGGCCCTAGCCCCTAACTGTCCCGTGCCTTTATACACACGCTGGCCTCAGGCGGCCGGCTGCGGGCTGGCGCTGGAATGTCAGCACTCTCTAACTCCGAGCCTTTGTGCACAGCGCTGGCGACGGGCCCTAACTGACCCCGTGTCCCCCCCCCCCCTGCACAGCGCTGGCCACGGGCGGCCGGCTGGCGCTGGCATGTCAGCACTCTCTAACTCTGAGCCTTTGTGCACAGCGCTGGCCACGGCCCTAACTGACCCTGTGTCCCCCCCCCCCCCCTGCACAGCGCTGGCCACGGGTGGCCGGCTGCGGGCTGGCGCTGGCATGTCAGCACTCTCTAACTCCGAGCCTTTGTGCACAGCGCTGGCCACGGGCGGCCGGCTGGCGCTGGCGCTGGCCGGCCGGATGCTCATTATGGGCGCCTACAGCACCTGTCTGCAGTACGGACCGGAGCTGTTCCCCACGGTGATACGAGGGCAGAGCCTGGCGCTCTACGAGACCATGGGCGGCATCGCCATCTTCATCAGCCCGTCCATCGTCTACCTGGTCAGTGTGGATCGGAACTCGGAGTTGGAAGTGGAACGTCTTAACCCTAGAACGCCTAGGGGGGGGGGGTTGTATCAACCCCCCCCCCCCCTGAGGTTTTTTCGAAGTTCTGGGGCAACCTTTGCGCATCTTTTGCCGAAAAAAAATTGATCGGGTCATGTCAGGTCACGGAGTTATGACGTCATAAGAGGTTCAGCCTCCGGCCGACAGTTACCAAACGTGTGCGCCGAATCCCTAGGTTTTCTGCCGGTGATACCCACATTGTTTGATGGATCATGATGAAACTTCCCATGCATGTTGGGGCAAGCATTGGCTATCTTGTGGTGCAAGAAAATTGACCGGGTCAGGTCAGGTCACGGAGCTATGACGTCACAAGAGGAACAGCGTCCGGTACTATTTTTGAAAAGCGCCCGAACCACTATTTTGCTAATTCTTGTCACCTCAATGGGAATATGCAGCAATATTAGCTTCTATAGGGAGCAAATGGACTTCCCAAATCCAAAAATACAATCAGATTTCAAAAATTTAAATTTTGATTTTTTGAATTTCTGCCGCCGACTGTCACCTTGCCGACTTCCGGCGCTCCCAACGCGCCATTTTTAGAGCTAGGGAAACGAAATACATACCAAACGATAGAGAATTGATCAAGGAACACGATAGTGAAGGTTTCAAGTCGATATTTCCCACCGTTTTGCCGCAATCGCCGCGGAAAGTTGAAAAAGTTTGATTTTTTCGGAAAATTTGACCTTTGACCGGTCATAAGTAGGTCAAATGTTGACCTAGGACCAAAAAATATACCACCAATCGCGAGATCTCGTTGAGAGCAATCCGTTGGTTTTTTCCGCTAAGCTCTACGACCTTCCGTTTCGAAACGCCAGGGGGGGTCGTAACAACCCCCCCCCCCCCTGGTCGTTCGTGTTATGAGAAATGGCCTGGTCGTGCGAGGGTTAAGTTATGGCCATTCGGGACAGTCGGACAGACAGGGTGTTCTGTACTTATATCGGACTTATCTGGTAGCATGACTTACGCATCCACGATAACGACTAAGATAAAAATATTTCATTAACCCGCGCGGGGCTGGGGTCTCCAGCCGAACGCGCGGGGCTGGGGGGGGGGGTAAATTTTACCCCCCCCCCCCCCCCTGTTATCTCCCGAACTAATGGTCCGATTTGGAAAATTCAAACGCCAATCGAAAGCTCTCATCACGAACTACTAAAAACATGTACTTAATTTAAAGTTTGAGGTCAAGGTCAAGGTCAGGTCAAGGGTACAAATTGCAAGTTTCTACAGTATCGGCCTTGCACCGTAGTTGCCGAAGAATGGAGTCATGGACTGAGACTGATCGCCCAAAACGTGTTCTTAGGCTACCAAGACAATATTCGTTGCATACAATATCATTCAGAGGTCAAGGTCAAGGTCAGGTCAGGTCAGGTCAGGTCACCAAAAAACAAAATATAGAAAAGGGCATGTGCGACACATGTTTAATGGGTCATTTTACTCATAGAATTCAATAGGCACACTCAATAAGTGATATGGACCACCTCTGGATGAATTTCAGGTCGAGGTCAGGTCAAGGTCAGGTCTAGTGAGGTCAAATTTTGAAGTTGGTTGTTAAGGCCTAAAAAGGTGTCTATCTGATGCAGTTTTTCACGGCGAATCGAATGGTGCTATTTTTGTTTTCGTACGAGGTCTAGAACTTCCAAAAAAGTCATTTTTCAAAAAAATTGTGTGTCGTGACGTCATAAAATTTTGAATAACTCCCACATTTTTGAACCGATTCTTCTAAAATTTGGTATGTAGGTGCACATAGACCACTTCTCTGACATATATTCCGGTTTTTTTTGATAGACTCAAAATTTTGGATTTTATAATGATTTTCCCAAAAAAGTCAGTTTTTTGAAAAAAAAAATTAGGCCAAAATCCAAAATTTTCAAAAAACCGAGATAGCCATTTGATAGACAAAGTAAAATTACGTATAACCTTTTTGTTACGTCTTGATTCCTTTAAAAATGAAGATGTTAGCGGCGTTTGAACTTTTGCCGTTTTTGAGGCGAAAATGGCGAACATGACGTCACTAAAACGTTAATTTCTCAAAAATTTTCCGACGGATTTCGCTCACATTTTCAGGAAACGTGTCAAATTGATGTAAGAAAAGGTACGTAAAGTTTGGCGGCGCTGCGCGCCACCGTTTTTGAGATATCGCAAAAATTCGCGAGGGGGGTAAAATTTACCCCCCCCCCCCCCAGCCCCGCGCGGGTTAAGATACAATGTTTCGACTACGATAGAATGTTTCATTCATTCATCATTACGTTCGGCAATCTCCTTCAATCGCCGTTTGACCTGATTACAAGAACCCTGGGGATACACCTCTCCGTGCTTCTATCCTCAGGATACAGAAATCCTTCTCCTCCACGCCGCAACCCCACTCCGGGCTGGACAGGCACCTTTATCTCATGCGGGCTGCTCCCTTGGAGCGGCACCGCTGCTCCCGAGGGAGCGCACCCCGTAGCCGGGTGCAGAGAGTGCTTGGGGGGCTGATCGGCCTGTCCATTCGGACGGGCTCAGCCCCGGCGACTCTCTAGGGTGTCTGCCCAGACCAATGTCTCCCCCTAATTCCTATCATCCTTCCGGCTCTGCAATGGTCTTGTCAGACCGAAAGGGCCTAACCCAACAAAACAAAACCTGGGGATAAGTCCCTGGGGATAAGCGAACCATGATCCTGTATTACGATACGCCCGATCACCTGACCGTTCACCTACCCACAGATAACCCTGTGACCCTCTCTAACCCGTTTTGAGCACCAAACGACGCCTTGTGACCCTCTGACTCTCCCCTACCCGTCTATTTTCCAGCGCCAGACGATGCCCTCTGACCCTCCCCCTCCCCCTATTTTTCAGCACCAGACAACACCCGGCCTGCCGCTGCTGATAATCGGCGCGCTATCGCTGGTAGCCGGTTCGATCACCACCCTTCTACCGGAGACCGGCGGCGGTCACCTGCCTCAGACCCTGGCCGACGGCGACCAGCTCGGCGCCGGGCAGGGACTCTTCGACGCCTGCAGAAAACCCAGGAGCTACACAGAGGACGACTGCAGTGGGGATGTGAAGGTCTAGGCGCGTTCTCTGCGGAGGGGACTGGGGATGTGAAGGTTTAGGCATGCGTTCCGCGAAAGGGGATGGGAAGGTCTAGGCACTTTCTCTTCTCTGCGCGTTCTCTGCGCAGGGGATGTGAAAGTCTAGGCGCGTTCTCTGCAGAGGGGATGAGGGTTAGGCGCGTTCTGCGGAGGGGATGTGAAGGTCTAGACGCGTTCTCTGCGAAGGGGATGTGAAGGTTTAGGCGCGTTCTCTGCGCTGTTGCGATGTGTGAGGTCGGCTGATTGTTTGGTTGTCTGATTCGAGAGGAGGTAGGGTGGTGAGCAGTGCGCACTGAAATATGCTGAGACGGAGACTTGGCGAACCGTGCGAAACTGCGAGCTGTAAGCTCTCAACATTCCCGAGTTTGTTGCTTTGTTGATGGGGCCGTTGAATGGTCAGTAAGTTCCCATGAACTGCCAGGCTAGTGAACTGCCAGGCTAGTGAACTGCCAGGATGCCTCGTCCGTGTGATGATCTGGAAAAAAGAACGGCAGAAGAACCTAAACGCTACTTCTACAGGAGTCCCAAACTTATCCCCGTGTTGGAAACGTATTACTGTTACTTATTGTAATGTGTTACAGATGTGTTGAATGTTTATTACATTAACATATTCACTGTTGTTGACGTGAAGGGCATTTATCCGTCCAAGCTGGGCCGATAGTCAAACTTTGGGCCTGCTCATCGTGCTTATTTGTCTCGTCATTCATAAGGTGTGAGCCACATATGCTAAATGTCCTACGGGCGTCATTCTGACCTTCTGCTCAGAGACTGTAGCCCATTACTTTGTTCATGAATATCATTTGCTCACTTGTCGAGTTATAAGTAAAGTAGTTCAATCACCTCCATAAGGGGTCGTGTCTTTTGACAAATACAACGCCAAGAAGCGCTTTCATATAAATATTTCCTAGAATCGAATGGACACCACCACGCCAAATACACCGACTTAAAGCATAAAAGTGTTCTTAGAATGGGAAGAGGTTGTATTGTCCACTTCGCAGACCAAGAACAGACCCATTGGCAGTCTCACACAAAATACATCCGTCCAAAACAACGACACACCATTTGCATCGCTGGCTCTTATTTCGCCAGGTTCAGGACAGGACATCGTCCGTAACATGTACCAAAACACACACACACGCATACTGCTCTCACCATGTTCTTCAAAATCGATCCACCCAGCGCATGTCTGCTTGGGAAGACCATCCCTCAGTAAGAACCCTCATGAGGGAGTGAAAACCCTCCTGAGGGACGCTCTCCCTCCCCTTTACGCCATCGCCGTGAGCCTGTCGGCCTCGAGCTCCACGCGTTCGACCAGCTCACCGCCCAGCGTCCTAGCCAGGTCCACGAACCCGGCCACATTGGGGGCCACCTCCGCGCCGCCCCGTCCCGCCGGCATGTCGCCCTCGCAGCGGAACGCCGCCAGCAGGCGCGGGCGCAGAGCGTCCGGACGCACCACCACGCCTATGACATCTCCTCCGCAGCGGTCGTGGCAGACGAGCGCCCAGCCGGCGGCGGCCGCCCGCAGCTCCTCCACCAGCCGCTGAACGGGGTCAAACTCCGCGGCGGGAACCGCCTCGTACGGGTGCTTCGAGTACGGGTCGGCGCGAGACTGCTTCCCCGCCGGGTCGACCGCCTGGTGGCGGCGCGGGATCTGTTTGCGCCGCAGGCGGATACGGATGTCGAAAGCCTCCAGCGGTGGCCGGTAGATGGCTCGCCAGTCGCTGAGCGGGTCCGCCGAGTCCGGTGGAGCGTTCAGCTGAGCCGTCAGCAGGTCATGAGCCGACGACGCCAGTTTCTGAGAATGGCGCAGACGACATTGATATTAGCGTGCTATCTGAGTGGGCATTGTCCCCACTTCACAATCAAAACATATTATGCTCAGATGCTCATCTTGGGTCACGCCCGTTGCAGTGCCAACTTTTGGCAGCCAGTTGAGCCCAAGGGGAAGGGGAGAATCGCCTCCAGGGCAGCGAGTGTAGCGAGGAGCAACTGGTTGTGCTTCAAAACTTGTCGAAAATCAAGAAAACATTTTATTTCATTTAGCTGTTCGACCAGCACTGAGGCTACCAGAAGTTAAATTTTCAGAACTTCAACACATTTTACTAAAGCATCGACACTCTTCGTCTCATGCTTATCCAGCAAACATCACCCCTTTCCGACCCTCTCCCTCACCTGTACGAGCTGTAGCACCACGGCGGTGGGCCGGTCAGATCCCACCCCCCCCCCCGATGCCACTCCCCCCTCACCTGAACGTGCTGCAGCACCACAGCGGTGGGCCGCTCGTGGGTCCAGGACGTTCCCGTCTCGTCGTACGGCGTGAACACCACCAGCGCGGGCAGCCGGTCCCGCTCCGTGCGGAACCTGGCCAGCAGGGGGGCCTGCTGCTCGGCCGTCAGCTCGCCATTCAGCCCGACCAGCAGCGGCTGCTGGCGCCAGTCAGTGTGCGCCAGCAGCCGCAGCCAGCGCAGCAGGGCCGCCGACGGCTGCTGCGGCACCGGCAGCGGCGCACTACCGATATACACCTGACGGACGGGGGGGGGGGGAGAGATTATTACCTCTTATCTCTGTTACATGCCGCTGCCCAAATACACCTGACAGACGGAGAGACAGATGAGAGAAGGGCGAATAAGGATGCCATTTGCCGACACCACTCACCCACAGTGACAGTGACCTGGGCGAACTGCTCAATGGATGAGCTACTGACAGGACAAAACGAACATTTGAATGAGTTTCTGTCCCCTTTTGAAATGTATTCAACAGCTGTATAAATTCTCGAGAAAAGCAAACGTCAACAGCGATCATCACAAATCGGGGAGTGAATCTCCCAGCCCACCGTACACAAACATCATATCATAAGAAATACTATAGTTCGTTTATTTTCAAAAGGACGCTGGCTCAAAGTTCAATATCGAAGCTCTCACGTGAGTTTTGGCAGCTTCAGTGTCTGGCCAAGAATTTCTTACCGAAAAAATAATCGATTTCAAATTTTGCACGGTAAGTAGCGAGAAATTGTTTCTTAAAATTGAACATACTATGATGACGTCACTGGTGGCAGCAGGCACCCAAATGCCCGTGCAGTGGGACAAGTGTCAACGAATTTGAGTGAAACTTAGTTTTTCACTGTTGCCGAGCTTATAATCGAGTGAGCGGTTCCGTCCATGATAGTCATAAGTTAAATTGAAATACATGTTCGACAGCATGACGTCACCGCTGTTATCATATCTGCTTCCAAAACGCCCATATGGAAATTATCGGGAAGAAATCACATGTTAAAATTAGTCGACGTTCGATTTTCTCAGGTTCAGTTTTTGCTCGTTTTGCTCGCTAAAACACGTGCTTGTTCGAAAAACATACTTGGAGCCAGCGTCCTTTTGAAAAAAAAAAAAACGAACTATAAGTGTTCACACTTCACGCAAACCCCATGAACACCCAAACACACATACGCACACATATGTACATATGGCAGACGTCGTACCTGAGCCATGAGCAGTTCGGCGGCGATGTCGGGCACCAGGTCGGACATCATCTGGGCAGAGAGCCAGCGCAGGGCCAGCCGCACCGAAGCGCTGAGAAATACACAGAAGGAGGTCAGAATGAGTAGGGCATAGGCCCACACAAGGGAGAGCCAGAGAGCCAGCGCTGGGCCGGGCGTACCGAGGCGTTGAAAACACAGACAGCAGTCAGAACAGCGCGGGGAGGACTGAGAAGGACATAAAGTAACAGAGGGAAGAGCTAAAGAGGCAGAGGATCCATCGCTGCACTGAAAACACAGGCAGCAGTCCGAAAGCACGACCGGCAGCTCTGACACAGGATCTCACAGAACGAAAGGTTTGCTATTAAACAGTCTGACGCACTGAGACTAAAAACACAAATGTTGTTGTTGTTGTTGTGTGTTCCCTCCAGCCGCGTCACCGCGGTGTAGCCGTGCGGCTCTGGAGGTCCCTGACGGCGGCCGCCAGGGCCGCCACCTCTCCGTCGTCGCGGACGTCTTCCGGGCTCGGGAAAATCGTCCCGTACCTCCGGAGACGCCAGCTCATGAGGGCCGGGCACCGGAAGAAGAGGTGCCGGGGCGTGGCGGCCTCCTCCCGGCACACGGTGCACAGGCCCGCCGCACAGTCGGTGTCAGGGCACTGACGGCAATCGTCGGAAGGGTTCCGTCCAATCCGGTGAAGGTATTGGCGGGATCCTGACCAGTGGCCCGCGCGGATCTGGTGGACGTCGACGGCCGACGATCTGTCCCCCGTCGCGGCCGGCGGCGGCAGCCGGTTCTCATTCAGGGTCCGGTACCAGCCCTCCGGCCAGGCGGCGATGGTGCGGTCGCGGGCCAGTCTGGCGGCCGCGCGGTGGGCGGTAGCGGCGTCCATCGGGACCGCCGCCTGGGGGAGCGCGGCCGCCTCCTTGGCGATCTGGTCGGTGCGCTCGTTACCGTCGACGCCGCAATGGGACTGCACCCACTGCAGGTGGATCCGGCGGGACGGACCGGCCAGGGCCGCTAGTTCGGTCCAGATGGCGGCTCCTAGCGGGGTCTTCTGGGAAGCCGGGCTAAAAAAAAAACACACACAAATCGCCAGGGCTCCCCGGCACGCTGAAAGCTAGCGCCATCCATCCATTTCCACGAGACACAAGATTAGCCATCGGGCTCAAATCCTTCTCCTTTCACACCCACCTATAGGCGGGGAACTGTCTCTTTACCCCCCGCCCCTCCTCCCCCGCCCGCTAACCTATAGGCCGGGAACTGTCTCTGCGGGGTACCGTCTCTGACCTGTAGGCGGGGGGTACTGCCTCTGACCTGTAGGCGGGGTACTGCCTCTGACCTGTAGGCGGGGGGTACTGTCTCTGACCTGTAGGCGGGGTACTGCCTCTGACCTGTAGGCGGGGGGTACTGTCTCTGACCTGTAGGCGGGGGGTACTGTCTCTGACCTGTAGGCGGGGTACTGTCTCTGACCTGTAGGCGGGGTACTGTCTCTGACCTGAAGGCGGGGTACTGTCTCTGACATGTAGGCGGGGTACTGTCTCTGACCTGTAGGCGGGGTACTGTCTCTGACCTGTAGGCGGGGGGTACTGTCTCTGACCTGTAGGCGGGGGGTACTGTCTCTGACCTGTAGGCGGGGTACTGTCTCTGACCTGTAGGCGGGGTACTGTCTCTGACCTGTAGGCGGGGTACTGTCTCTGACCTGTAGGCGGGGTACTGTCTCTGACCTGTAGGCGGGGTACTGTCTCTGACCTGTAGGCGGGGTACTGTCTCTGACCTGCAGGCGGGGTACTGTCTCTGACCTGTAGGCGGGGTACTGTCTCTGACCTGTAGGCGGGGTACTGTCTCTGACCTGTAGGCGGGGTACTGTCTCTGACCTGTAGGCGGGGTACTGTCTCTGCAGCGCGCCCAGAGCCGAGGTCAGTTTGGGCAGCTGCACGGTGCGCCTGTCCAGCTCGGCGGCCGCCTCTGGCTGCTTCCTCAGCCGGAGGATGGCTGCCTCGCGCGGGTAGGCCACACACAGTCGGAACAGGTAGCCGTCGTAGATGACCAGTACACAGTCGCGACGGACCGAGGCAGTCAGACCCAGACCGCCCAGCTCCTCACGGATCTACGGGGACAGACAAACATATCAACACATACAAACACATACAAACACCACAGGCCGTCAGACCCAGACCGGCCACCTCCTCACGGATCTGTGGGAAACACACAAACATATCAACACATACAAACATACAAACACCACAAAATGTCAGACCCAGACCACCCAGCTCCTCACGGATCTACGGGGAACAGACAACACATATAAACACATACAAACACATACAAACACCACAAAACGTCAGACTGACACCGCACAGCTCCTCACGGATCTGCGGGGAACAGACAAACATACACACACATACAAACATACA